CTTTAATCAAAATCAAAAATTCAAAATTGAAACCCGCTCACAGCAGAAAACAAAACAGGCAGAGCTAATGAAATAAAGGCAACTCCAATTAATCGTGGGTTATTACGTAGCTCTGAGGACATTTCAGACAAACTGTTGTTTTTTGAAGACTATTAGTCGTTGGTATTGGGTATCAGACCGCCCTGTGTGTCGCATCTGGACGGCGTACTCAGCCACTGAGTCAAGCGTAATCGATGTGACAACGGAAAAAAAAGTACTCTGTGGCGCAGAAGATGAAGAAAGTACTTCATATCAGTTTCATCTTCAGATAATGGTGTAATTGTTTCTTTCTTCTTACAGTTAGTCACATCCGACACGCTCTTTTTCCTTCTCTTTGGGTGTCACATGGCTCTAACAGTTCCATATGGAAACACACATTCTAATGGAGGCACCACGGACGGATCAACCAACCGGGATGTGGGTGATAATCCTGAAAGGAATGGAGGTGAAGCGCGACACAGTGTGAGAAATGTGGGTTAAGTGTAACTTTGGCGCTGTTTTTCGGTTCTCTGGACCCCGCAGACCTCCCACTGTCACCGCAGTGTATGACTCCTTTGTGTTTGATCCATACCTAACATCCAGCGTTCGCTTGTGGCTCCTCCGGACCTGAAAACAGAATCACAGCGAAGGAATGTGGTATTGTGCGGAGGGAAGGCCCCGTGTCCTGTGCAGCATGTGTGCTTGCCTCTCATTCAAAAATCTGTGAGAAGATAGATGGTATAGGGACTCATAACCTCTATAATATTAGCACATGAAAGGTAGGGAGGCTGCAGGGGGCTATTTCCACTGCCCACATGGGCCCCTCTATTAGCCCCCCATTCGATTTTAAGCAGACACACACACAAACACACACCCACGGACATGCCACTGTTATTACACAATACTCGTTTGGTCACTTCCAACATCCGTCAGAGAAACTAACTACTTGGAGTAATTTTGTCATAATTGTGATGAATGTTCTGCAGGGTCACTGGCAATGTTAAAGCAATTAACAACACCCCGTGCCCCCCCCCACCCCACCCCCTCTCTGTACAATCAACAAATCATTTACATCATCATCATTGTATGGAACTTTTAAAAAGCACGAGTCGGCATTTGTGGAAATGTGCTACAGGTCATCTGAGACCAGAACCTGGAGTCGGCTAATCTTTCCCTGGAGGAGTACGATTCTCGTTCACCCACAGCCTGGGGTGCGGTGGTCTGCTCTGGGACGAGGGACGTAAATGACAACAGGAGTGGGAAGCTGCGGAGTTTGTGGCTGAGACGCTGTGAATTCTGTGGATACGCATTTATTAACCACAGCTTTGTGGTTGAAAAAAACGAAACTTTTATACGGAGCTGGAAGATGGAGTAAAGTTGTTGTTTTTTTTTCTGTGTGCAATAGAAGAGAGGTCTGGATGAGTAATGAGAACAAGAACAGTACTTATGAGGAATGCCTCTGACTAAAGATGGAGGACTGCAGATAGTCAAGTCCATAATGCTCTCCATCTCATATGGAAGTTCACCATCTGGTTTAAAAGTTTGCTTGAGGAAACATTTATATAAATCTACTTATTGTTTATAATGAACATTGAGCTGAGGGGTCCCCCCCCCCCCACCCCCCGAACCAGAAGGTTAAGGATTTGATTAGAGACGTTCGCTGATGTGTCCCTGGACAAGACTCTGAATCCCAACGCCGAGTGCGATACCTCAACCATTGGCTTGACCGCAGTCTGTCGTCCTAGTCTACTGTCTGGGTGATGAAAGCCTTTGTCAAATGGTGGAATCTGGTCGACCACAGATACAGAGACTCTTTCTCCAAAGGGGGAAGCGGGGGTGTAGCTGATTCTTTCTTATTTATAATCGACAGCATGTTTACTTTAGGCGTGACACATGGTACACGTCCTAGACATGTCGTCAGTCCATCAACTGGAAGCTACAACCACACTGCTCCATTTTTTGCTAAAAAAAATCACACACAAGCTGCTCCCCATACATCTGTCATCCATACTGGCATCTAAAGGACCCCGAACACTGAGGCGTCAAAAACCATGCTGGCTTTATTTCTGTCTGAGACTCCTGGGACATTGTTTCAGTATGGAAGGACAAGGACTTGGAAGTTTGGAGACCTTGGTTTTCACTTCCAGGTTTGTTCTCCTCAGCAGTTTCCTGGAAGAATGCAACATTCATGACCAGTAACTTTAGCCCAGATTAGTCATCAGGTGATGGGAGCATCACCGTACCCCAAAGGAAAAACTCATTTCAAACCTAAACAGATTATTTTTCTTTCTTTCTTTCTTGATCGGAAACAGACAGGTCTGGAGTCAGGACTTTACTCACACCATTAAAAACTCATATTTACACCTACAGTTGATGTGATGCTGCGGGGAGAAGAAGGTCATGGAGGTAAATCCAACACAAACAATTTGAGTCTAAAAAACTCATATTTACACCTACAGTTGATGCGATGCTGCGGGCAGAAGAAGGTCTACAGCACATGATCTTGATTTGCCTGGTCTCTGGGTTGAGTCAACCACTCAAACCGGAAAATAACCAGGACTCAATTAATCCCACATGACAGCGGAGTGTCTGCCCTGCAGGAGCTGACCCCACTCTCACAGCTAATTGTTGATGGGGTTAAACAGCAAATTTTAACTCCCCCTCTGGGAGAGCTAATACTTTTTTTCTGCTAATAGTTAGGAGACGGCTCATCAACTGGTACATGAAAAAACCAAGCGATTTATTTTGATGCAAACATTCATTAAAACTAGTTTTACAAGTACAGTTTACATAATTTAACGTGATCAAAAACATCTGTAAGCCAATAAGCATTCTTAGTCAAAACTAATACAATCTTTTATTCTGAATGACACCAGAACTGCACGCAGTTCCGTTTCCGTCTCTTCAGTTCAGTCAAGTCTCCAGTTTAAGACTGCAGCTGTTCGACAACAGTCCCGGTCCATTCCATTTCACTCGCTGACATTATTGATGTGTGTTGCCGCTTGGCTATTTTATGGTGGGACCACAGAGTGGAGGAAGTTCATTTTGACCACCTAATACGCTCTGCGGGGCATTTTCATTATGCACTGACCTCTGAGGTGGTGACAACTTTAAAGGCCCTTGAAAAGCTCAGCACAGCTGGTTGGATAAAACAAACTTAACGACCTCGGAGTGAATTAAAGAAGTCATATTACACACACATACTAGTAGATGTAAACACACACTGATTTGACACAAAATGACACAATCATTAAATCTGACCTCAGTTTAACTTTTCTACCTTGTACATTTTTGTTTAAAGCTCCTTTGACTGAAAAAGAAAAAGTTCACTCGGACCCTCTTCGTGTGGCTTTCGATGACCCCTGGTTCACTGTGTACGCACACACACACCATACAAACACACACACATTTACTTTTTCATATTTACGTACTCAGCTTTTCATGATGAAGAACCACAAAGTGGAATTTCACTGGCTTCACATCTGGGAGCCCTTACACTTAGAGATGGAGGAAACGTGCAGTGTAGGCGAGGCCGGCCCAGTCACTCCGCCCCTTTCTTTACTTCTCTGTCATTCACATGACAAATCCTTATTCATCTGTCAAGGTGTCAGTTTGTCTTTTGACGTTGTGGTTGAAGTTAAAACCCCAGCAGAGTTTTTAACCATTGGCTGTATATGAATTTCATATGTCTCCTTCTTCCTCCGACATTCCTCTGCAACTGAGTAGAGCAATTTGGTGTTGGCTGACGACCTCATACCAAGGTGCTGAGTGTCATTTTTGTTTCTTTTATTAGACCTTTCTCTCAAATTTAACTGTATTATTCTGACAGCAATTTAAATAAAACAAAGTTGGTCAGCTTTTTTGTTAAACTGGGTACATTTTCAAAATGCTACCTGCTGATACTTATCAGCAGGTTATCGCTGATACTTATAACTATAAAATGTGGATCTTGTGCAGCCCACTTTGGTATGAAATGGTCCTTATGTAGAAGACCTGACCAGTAAATCTCAACCATGTTGGAAACTTTTGCTCGATGGTGAAATCTTTGCATTGTCTTGTCACCAAATAGTGTTGAACGTGTGTAGATATTTCTAGCTCACTTCCAGCCACCCAAAGTTTTTTTTTTGTTTGTCTGTTTTTAGTTTAAATAGCGTATGCTAGCTTCATTAGCCCATGATAAAAATAAACACAACCTCATCTGTCATTAGATAACAACTAAGTATATTGCATAAACTTTTCTTTTTTATTCTAAATTTCTAACAGCTTTTAGAGTTAGCATAACAGAGTCAACAGGCTAATGTTAATGGAATTCATTCTCCAGTAAACTTGTGAACTGTTACGGGGGTGGGGGTGGGGGGAGGGGCAGTTCCACAGTCCGTGGAGGTGTAACTGTGGCTCGACTTAACTGTAAATAGCATAAAGTTACAGCTGATTTGGTTTTATACCCTTTTTTGCAGTTGTGTGTGAAACTGTCCTGAAAAGATGAAGACCATATTTATCTAGGACTGTTGCCCAGTTTGCCTCAAGTACCAACGTGTCATCAGATGAGGATCAGTTGTTTAAATCTGCTGTGTATTTATTCAGTCGTGTTGTGTTCCACTTCACTGACCTGATGGACTTCAAATCCACTCATCCAACACTCCTGATTTAAAAAATGAGTTTTTAAAAGAATGACCACATTTTTTTAAAACCCTTTTCATTTCTTATTTTCATTGGCAGGTAGATTTAATGTGCACGTAAAGTATCACATAAAGATTTTACGTCCAACTTTATGGCACATCAGGCTTTATATGTCCGGCCACGCTATCGGTAATAAATGGTGGAAGTTGGCTGTGATCCCAGCCACACAATGACTACTATTATACGCTGTTACATTTGATTTTCATTAACTAATGTCCCTGTGTGACTCGTACAGATCTGTCCGTGATACTGCAGTGTAGAGTTACCTGTGCTTACGGCGACAGACGACAAATGACGTTGGCTTTTGTCAAATAAGGTTTAATTGCAATATTTTTCAGTGAACATATATTTTTTTTAATGTTTTACAAAGATACAGATAAACACTATAGGTTAGACATCATACAGTAACTGATTAACTTCCGTTACACAATGAAACACAACAGTGAAATCAAAGACTTGATCTGCTGTGAAGACTTTTCCTGAACCCACATTTTATCACATTTTAACCGAACAACAAAGCCGATCTGTCGGGCAGTCGACCGCCGCTCGCAGTTGTTTATCTCCGCCTGATGTTTCAATCACCGGAGCACCCTCATCACGCAGCAAACTACCGTGCTCCGCCTCACATAATGCCCTCCGAGCAATGTTAAAAGTTCATCCCTTTTAGCTCTAATGTTTTCCTAATGGCCGCTTGTTGAGTTAATAGTTAAGTAACAGGCGGGATCGTTGTCCTTGCCTTTCATTTACCCCCGTGAGTAAAAGCCTTACATATGTTCTCACATCAAAGAATCAAATTTACCCTCTGACCCACAGATACAGTATGATTAGACTGGATGTGGGTTGGCCTTGGGCCTCCACTAGGGAATGGCTCTTAACAGAGGTTGGATGTTTATACATATTTATGGTCAAACTAACACCATATAAGAGCAAATATATTTTTTGTAGTAAAAAAACCCAAAAAACTCTTAGCTAAATGGCTCAAACTAGAGTGTACTGCTTCTTTATTTAAATGTTTGCATGGATTATATGAATGCACAAAAGAGTACAAAAATAAATCTTTTGTATAATATTCAGTTCACAGACAACAACAACAACAGGTTTCAGGCGAGTATATGGACAGTTTTTCTCCCTAAATGTAGCTGCACACTGACTATTCCAAGAGAACAGAACGGAAAGAACAAACGTAGACGTCGCGCTGAAAAGAACAAACAGATTTTAATGGTCACACTTTGTGAGTAACAGTAAATATTGTTAATATACTAATACATCAGATATAAAGTGCATTGCTATTTGCATGAGTGGTGTAGGTAGTAACATCTATGTACACGTCTGTGGTACTTGGCCACAGGTTTGAACTGCTGATAGGACGGCCGTTGATCAAAGAGGTGGTTTGATTTAGAATAGGCAGGATATTTCTTTGATCCTGTTATACTATAAAAATATCAGTATTTGTATGTAAGAGCCAACCATGGGCGGAAAAACGTGACCTGAAGCGCAAGTTGCATGTTGGATCACACAAACAGCCCATTTTATGGATATGAAGGAATTGCATCGTAACATCGCGGCCCACACAAATCAAAGCTGATTCCCGACCATTGCCTGCTGTGAACCTATGTAGCTCAATTCATCCACGAAGGCACTGCGTAGCTGCATACTGCTGGAAGTGACAGTGAGACCACTTCGAAGGCTCGGTCTTCTCAGTCACTGCGATACATTTTCAGCATAATTTGACTCACTGGTTGCTCGGGGGCCCAGATGTTGAGCGTTTCCCTCCGACTGAACATTAGCGAAAGGGGATCACGTTATAATTACAGCCGCAGAATGGTCCAGGAAACGCTGCAGCGCTTTTGGCGTCTTATTTTCCATCACAAAACATTGTAATTGCAACTTTTACTAGAGCCTTGTATACGCCTTAAATCTGATACAGTGGGGAGGACGGCGGGGGCGGGAGGGGGTGTTCTGGAATTCCATAGTACTAATTAGCCCAGAACATGTAATGCAATTCGGTGGAGTCTGCAGCCGTTTGCTGGACTCAGTTGTGTTTGGAATATTGGTCAAATTTTACGTTCAAGACGTGCAGCGTATCTGTAGATGTATCTGTTTGTTGTTAAAAAAAACCCATGGAGTTAATATTCAATATATCGGCCAATGGAATCTGACTGGTATATATACATGATAGAAAGAAACAGAGTGACAGAGTGACAGAGAGAACTCCAGTTCACAGTGAAAACACACGGCGTAGGTGATTAAGGTGATGGCAGTGAAGACAGTAGCAGAGCTGGTGGATTGTTGGTGATGTCGACCTCTTGGTTCATTTCATGCAAACGGCTGCTGCAGCCTGGCAGCCCGGGTAAGTGCTGTACAACATACCAGACGCTCTCATGACGGTCCAGACCCTCGGTGATGACTTACGAGGATCACTGCAGGCTTTTACAGGGCCTGCTTGGTTTTCTTCATTCTGGAAGAAGAACAAATGACGCGTTTTGAGTTCCAGCTGCAGTAAAGATGCTCACATATGTTTTGTTTTTTTTTTAATTCATTTTAGGTTGATATCAAACAGCTAATTATGATATCCACCATAATGTTCTGGCCCATACAATTCTGGCCCTGGTGGTGTTTTGAGGAAACATCAAAAACTACATACATGTAAAGAAATAAAGTTTTTTTTGTTTGTTTTTCAGTATTTAACCCATCTGTGAGAAAGGACTGTAGTGGACTTTTTTGAAGTTTTGGTGATTGCTCAGTAACATTGTGCTATGAGGGTTCAAACCAACAACCCACCTTAATGCTTTAATCACTAAGCCCACAGGTTGCTCGACAGGGAAGGGGAGGAATTAGTTTCTGTTAAAACTGCCAAAAAACTGTCCTTTTCCAATGACACTGGCTGAACTGTGGTGACTTTCTGCATATGTTTAACAGACCACGTGATGCTCCTTCTTTTGAATTTGATTTACTTTTCCAAAGCATCGCTCCTTTACTCCTTTGTACTCCTTTGTACTCCTGTCTAGGACACTTTTGTGATGAATTAAAGGTTCTTCAGTTTTGATTTGATGTGCAGGAGCTGCGTAGCAACACTACACAACACACCAGCCTAAACACTCCATCATGGGTGGGCAGCTTAAATACAGTCTTTGGTCCCGTTTCAGCTATTTAAAAAAAAAAAAGAGACAAAAAAGGTCTTTAGGTTTTGTTTACTAGACTGAAGGGTGGCGTTATATTCGTGTGCATTTTTACACATTGTAAATAAGTTTGGCCCCTAATTGGAGACACATAAGGAGTGATCCGTAGTAATTGACCACCATCTACTATCTGCACGAGCTGTTTTGTTATGCAGAGGACTGTTAACACCTCCAGGAGCCGAGGCGCCACAATCATCCCTGAGACAGACAGTCTGACTACGGGTCGGTGGGTGGGACGAGTCTGTGGACACTGTGAGTGTGCATGTCAAAAGCTGGGCCACTGTTAAGGCTGGAAATCTGACTTTTTACTTTAATATTATCTGATTGACGTTTGACCTTCACCCGATCCCTCTTTCCCCCCGTCCTGCTCCTGGTGTCGCCACAGCAGGTTATAACACACACAGTGATATTTTCTTATTTTTACGATTCCCTTCTCCCTCCCACCCCCCACCCAGTCTGTCTGTGTGGAAGAGGAACTGTCTTCGTACTGAGCCACAGCACACTCTGCCTGGTAGAAATATTGACCTGGACAGATTTCAGGATGACAACTGGACCCTTCTATAAACTTTACCACATTTTTCTGTTCTGGGGTCTCTGCCCTCAGAACAGAGACTGACGTAAGTTGTGACCTTTAAGTGGTTTATAAGGAATTATGTTACACTGCATGACAAGATGGGAAAACAAAGCTATAAAAATCAGTGTTAAATCTACATATCATATTTTCAATATTATAGTGGTCCCTCGTCTATCACAGAGATTACGTTCCAAGACTGCCCCCGATAGGAGAAACAAGTGAAGTAGAGACGTTATAGTTATTATATTATTTATGTATAGATTAACCCTTTACAAACCCTTTAGGGCGTGAAATATGGCAAAAATCTCATCAACCTGTTTGTACAGGTTATTTCTCGCAATACCCTGTATGTATGTTACAAAATGCCTTTTGATTTATTTTTTAATTATTTTACAAAAATAAAAATATTGGAAATTTCAAAATGTTTATATACTGCAAAAATATTTCTCGCGAGCAAAAAAAATATGCGATAGAAGAATACATTTAAAATACATTTAAAACCTGCGATGAACTGAGGGCGTGACAGCGAAACTGTATTGTTAAACTGTACTCTCATCTGTACATCTGGTGAATGGAACCTATGACCTTATTTTATTGTGAAAGTGGAAGTTTATACCAATCCAAACCCTCATAATGTGGGAATCAGTGATGATTCTCAGTGGCTCGTGTACCAACATGTTTCCAGTAGGGTTTCTACATAAGATAGGCAGTTAAGAAGGCAGTTCTAAGCTGTCACCCACACAATGGTCTATTGACAGATGTCCAAATGCGCATTTGTGCCTTTACTTTCTTACGCAAGTTCTTTTAAATGTGTAAAGAAGGGAAGTGACTTTCTAGAAGACCGAAGACTGAAGGAGACAGAAACAAGCTTTCAAACTAAGACAACGACACGTGTTGACTTCTGAGTACTCACTTGTTGATAGCGTTTTTCAGGTACTGCTGCAGCCACCGGATCTCTGGGTTTACACACACCTCTTTGTTGTTCTTCAGTTTGGCACTGATGAGAAAAAAAAAAAAAAAAACAAGAGTTCAGTCAGAGGCTAACAGATGAAAGGTTAAATCACACTGTATCTTGACACATGTTATCAATGAGAATGAATTAACACCTCATCGGCACTTTGACACATGTGGAAAGTGTTTTCACAGCAGAGTATTAAGATTGATAATGACGAATGACCCTCGCCTCTTCATGTCGAGCTCCTGCATATATTGATATTTTGTATCATTAGTTCTCGCACTGATAAGCGGTGCGTCTTCATTAGACCTAATTAAAGTGCAGCAAAAGTTTGAATATTCAAAGGCGACGGGAGGCAAACATTCAACATATGGCAACCGGCTTTCTTCTAACTCCACCACTGTGGTTATTTACAGAAAGGATCAGATGTCTCCATGTTGGAGATCAGGCCTACTTTGGTGCCTTTGTCCTGTTTGTTAGAAGTAAAGTTGACTTTTTACTTTGTTTTTAGTGTAGGGGCATTTGGGTTCATGCAAATTTAGCATATGTCATTTATTATGTCATGTGTCTGGTAGGTGTCTACATTTGGCCTGTCCGATTTGTGGTTAATGTGCTAGCTGTGAAGTAGCTACTTTAATAGTAATAGTAATTCCAATGTTTTATTGTTTATATTTAGAACATGGAGAGCACTCTAATAGATACACTGCTGCAAATTTCTAAAATAAATTAACGCCAGAAACATCAAGAGCACAGTGTGAGGAGGAACCACAGTCTGAGAAACAAGAGCCACAAAAAAAGACAGAATTTAGAAAAAAAAAAAGTCTAGTTTCTGTTGGGAGAAAAACCTCAATTTCCACCTCCCTTTCACCATCATTCATACACTGATGGAGCACTTCCTGTGGACGGGACAGTTGGCCTGTGGTAAAAGTGTCTGCTCTCTGTAGATGTGTGTGAGGGCGACTGACGGAGGGGCGTGTGTGTACACACACATTCTCCGCTCCTTTTTCTGTCCTGTCACCTCTCGGAGATTGATGGTGAGAAATGTCCAGCGTGGAGGAACCACGTCTGATTTTTAAGTACCAGGATAAAAAGCACACACCTCCACATGGTTGTCAGAGCCTCACACAGAGGAACCCTTTATGAAAACAACACTTACATGACTTGAAAGGGACAGTTAGGCGTGTGGATGAACCGGAGCTCTCGGATAATGCTCCGTGGGAGGCTGTTGACTCTGGAGCGGCAGTAGCATCTCTCCACCAGGCTGATGGGCTTTGCTGAGAAAAGAGGAAAAGAACCAAGGATCAGTTACACAGAACAATATTGACTGTGCAGCATGTTTCAAAGACATTAGCTAAACATGAATAGGATGATTATAATGAATTAAAACACTGAAACAGAGATGTACTTCTTAGTCGATATTGAGTGAACAAATGACCTTAGATTTTGTTTAAACACATTAGGTCCTACCAGAAAAGCCACTTCAGACTAACAGAGATGAAGAAACAAGGTCAGAAATGAGGCTGCATTTGGGATTCTTTTAGTTTGTTTATAAATGGTGTTGAGTTTTCCTTTGCACAGTCAGAGGTCTGCTGAGATGCTGGTTCACCCAACCATCCGCTGTGGTCAAGGATGATGGATAAGATGTAAGAAAATCAAATCTGCTTTCATTCAGCCGCTAAAAGCTAGCCCGCGAATATTTCAGACAAACGAAACGAAAATGAAAGTGAAGATAAAAACGGATTACACTACGCCAAAAAAAGATTCCACAGTCGATTTGCTTCTTAAATTGACCAGAATGCACCTAAAGTTAGTGAGTAGATATTCTCTACTAATCCATAGACATAGATGTGTTGTAATAGTCGACTGAATATATAATGTACATAAATCCTAAAGTTAAGAAGTTAAGAAAAAAGCTGGAAATAACCAAAGAATTTGACCAACTGATTATTGACTTGGCAATAATTCAAAATGTTCTGAAACAAATCTCAAAAGCGTTTATAAAAAAATATTAATCTCATATCTTCAGAGTCAGTGTATGCCAACACAGGACTCCTCCACCTCCACACACAGCTTTCATAGAATCTTATTCCATCAATCCGTCAGTCATGCAGTGCATGTTTATGTTCCCTGAGGTTACAGGAAAAAAAAGCTGCAGCGCACAATTAGCCATAAACGACACTTTTCTTCTTAATTTTCTTTTTTGGCGAATGTATAAGGATTCTTGCCGAACCACAAACACTAATGTCGTTTCAACCTCTGTGGTCCTAACCCTGGTTTGGTGATGATGTATACAGTTTCCATCACAACTTCGGCTCTTATATTTATTTACACAGAAATGTTCACGTTGGACTAATGTGGAAAAATAAAGAGCACAATGTTTTCTCTGTAAAGCAGCAGATCCGAGATGCAAAAAAATGTGGATGTTACGCCTGTTTGTTTGCGCGTAAAAGTGATTTTTAACCAGAAACTGTGCGTTAAAGTGAAACTGATAAATCACAGCATGGCTCAGCCCAACAGATGGTCACACAGGCGCAGATTAAACCCTATGCTAATTTGTTTTACACCTGGTGGACGCGCATTAGCACAATAAAAGAGAAGCGACACCTCCAGCTTTAGTGCCCGATGTCGCTGTGAAAACGATCCGGGGCTTCGTCTCTCATTATGGATGCCTGCGCGTAATTTGCGCGTAATGAAAACAAGAAATCGCAGAACAAATACACACGTTAATCAGCGAAACGGCAGGGATTTGTCAGGGCAAGGAACACGTGTGCAGCGTCGACCCTGCATTTACAGCTATAGACACATTTAAATAACACTTTACGTTATAATAAAGTTGAATAATATTTTTGTTATTAGTTATTTGGAAAAGCTATTTAAATGCATGTGCACTATAAAAACATGTACAGGAATACAAAGGTGTATTTCACAATAAATATTATTAATATTAATAATATATTAATATTAAATATAATAGTTTTTTTTTAAAGTTGACACCATGGCTAAATTATAGATCAAGATCTTCTATTTAATTAAAATGTATACATTCCAATAATCGGCAGTCTAACCAAACCTTTAATTTACTTAAACATTACAAAATATAATATTCCACCATCTACATTTTACAATAGACATTTATTTTAGTACAAGGCTGTAAAGTGATCTTTGTGTCCTACCTTGTGATGGAGGCGCATATGTGAGAACGGTGAGCGCAGCCACCAGTGCCAACAGTTTCACATCCATTCTGCTGATAGTCAGTTGTGCCAAGTAGACGTGATCCTACTCACAGTAAAGTCCAGAAGAGTTGTGACTGCCGGTGCAAACGCTGTTGGTTGTTAAATTTACGCACGAGTGTCAAGTCCCACATGCAGGACTGCAGCCACTCCTCCGGGGCTGGGACAAAATAAAAGCCTCTCCCTCAAAAGTCACATGTTCTTTGGCACAGTCCTCTGGTGTCGCAGGACCTACCGTCGTTTTATCATAGTTATTTTTAAATATGTTTTTGCTATAGTTACAATTTCAAAGGAAAAGACAGCAACCGCTTGTATTTCTAGCTCAACCCTACAGGGGGTGCTGTAAATCCCTTCTAAATGCTGCAATACGTGAGTTTTAACTACTGGACAACACTATTCTTTCATAAAAATATTAACTTGGTCAAATTTTTTTTTACTTAAGAAAAACTTGTACATTTGACTCTGGAGACCATGGATTTTACTGCTCGTAAGAAACTCAAAACATTATTAACATAAAGTCTGGATTAAGGTCAGTTAAATCAGGGGAGACCGATGTATGTCCACACTAAATGAATATTTGAAATTCAGGTTTTTGAGGAAAACCAACAAATGACTGAAATGATCAAAACCCGACATTTGAAAAGCACTAATTAGCACTAATTAGAATCATTGTAATTAATCTTAAATGAATCTGCGGGTGAATGCGCGTATTCTCCATGATTTGCCTGTATTTGCTAACTTGGTTTTCAGACATTTTAAAGGTTGTATTCTTTTATTTTGAAAAGGAATTTCCCCCTTCGATGTCCTGTTGGAGTGATGTCCATAAAACTTGACTGGCTGCCAGATTACGCGCTGCGCTCCAAAGAAACTCATCAAACCATCACTCACACGCGCACGCGCGCACACACTGACACGCAAATGACACATTTACTCACACACATGTACACTGGGGTGTTTGCTGTGGGAGATGAAAGCCAAATGCCTGGAAACCGAGTTCACATCTGTATCCTGTTAAATAAACTATTAATACTTCCAAACACACGCACGCACTCACCTACAAAGACATGCACACGCACGGCCTGGAAACATACAGCCAGCTATAAAGGATCTAACTGTTTTCAGGGTTTGGCCTCTGCAGAAATCAGTTTTATTCGTGTTCCAGTCAAAGCCATGAGGTGTTGTTGTTGTTGTTGTTGTTGTTGTTGTTTCTTCTTCTCTTATGTTCAAGAAAGTGTAACTGAGCTCTAAGCTCATGTGACTCATCAGTTACACTTTGCGTTCTTTAATTAATTTGGGCCAGTGAAGCCCTTAAGGAGACAAGCCATGACTAAAAACAAACACTTGCACTCAAATGTCTCTGGTTTCTTTTCACAGCCGCAGGACCAGCCACAAGGAGCTGGAGAGAGTGTGTCGTGCCTGGTGGGCAATTGGTGTGTTTCCCATTAGATGAGCTTTTTAGAAAGCAAATAAATAAACTTTAATCAAATTAGTTCTCGCTGAACTCAGCTGGCCTGGGGAAAAGGCTGTTGTTTGTGTGTGTGTGTGTGTGTGTGTGTGTGGAGGATCTTTCTGGACCTTCAGACTCTTGGAGACCACAGCGTTGTATATGTTAGATAAGTATGTGTTCGCTAAACTTTATTAGAAATTAAAAGTATGTGTTCGCTAAACTTTATTAGAAGAATTTTATTTTTCTTCAGCGTTTGCAAATTGCCTGGCTGTTACAAAGTGTTTCCTGGGGGCAGACAGACACAGGTCGTTTTTGTCTTTTACATGCTCAAAATACTGTGACAAATTTGATGCAACATGAAACAGTTCTTTACATAGCACCACCGTTCATGTTGCAAAACAATATTTTTTGTACATGCACAAGTCACATCCGTCTGTTACCATCAATCTCCGATCCTTTAATTACGTCTACGCCCCTCCACCCAGACTAGACAACTAGTACAAGATTGACAACCCAGTCCATGTTTGAGCAAACGTTTAAATGATCTTCTACTTTTAGCACTCAGCAGACGTGCAGATGTGCAAAGGCACTACATGTTAAATAAAACTGCAACATTTTCTCTGCGACTCCATAACGCTGCACAAATGTGTCTGCAGTCCCCTTCACTCTGCGTATAAAAGGCAAGCATCACTGCAGAACCAAAGATGTTTCTGTGCAGTGACATTAATGACACGCATGAGTGGTTTTCTGTTCTTTATTCCCTGATTAGAGACACATTCTCTCCTTGCACAACTGTGGGAAAGCAAACCACCTGCTGACAGCTCATTTTATAACAAAAGTGAGTGGGAAATACAAAAGGATATTTCAAAGAGGATAACAGTGATTTATGGGATGAAGACGCTTTAATAAGTAACCTGTCCGACGCAGTTATGCGTCGCATGAATATCAATTCCGAAGGGCATTTTCCAAACAATACATTTATCTGTACAAAAGCGTCTCAGTCGTCTGGGGTCTGATGTTTTACTCCATGTTGTGCAGACAGTTGTGGAGTATTTTGGATTGCACACGTTAGAGACAATACCATGGAGACCAGACGGAGCAGAGGAGAGTCGACTGACAGCACAATAGACACATATTGACTTCTCTCACAGGCGGCAGAGACTAACTTTAAGTGTAAATGTGTGTGTGTCAGTGTGTGTGTGTGGGTTAGACCCAGAGAGTAAGGCAGAAAATGCAAAGAGGTGAAGGACGGCAGCATAAAAGCTCTTACTATTTGAATAAGCTTCTCTCAGATTGGGGTGAAAGGCAACATCAGAGGATTCACAACAGCTCCTCAACCTGCTCTCTCCTCTCACAGGATGCCATCAGAACACACACTTTACACTTTACACTTTACACTCACCATTACCAAAAATTTGGGGACTATGACAAACAACGCAAAGCTACTTTTTTATTCCACCTAAGCCATAACCCAGTGGACGACATTTGTCTCCAATACCTTTAAGGAAATAACCAACATCTGGACATTATGTAATTTTTTTAAATTAAAAATATAACATTTTTAGATTTTCTTTAAAGAACATTTGTCAACACTAGTTGTATTCACTCGGCTTATCGTATTCAGACATGTTTCTTTTGAGCTCCACTTGATTTCTTTTCTTTAGTTTACTCCCCAGGCTTTCTGACATCTCAGGCAGTGATTTGTGCAGACCAGTCACAAACATCTACTGTGACCATCTGGAGAGAGAGTTCCTCGTCTGTTTGGACATAAACCCGGGGTTGTTTTTATCTTTTATCTTGAGAGACACAAATTTTTCTTTCTTCGACTCTTACCACAGTTCTAACTCTGGATTCCTTAAAGTACTTTAGAACATTTGTCTTTGCTTTTTTCTTTCTCTAAATACATGCATTACATTTTGCCATGGCCTAATATACAGACAATTATTTGGCCAAAACTTTTGTCAAAGTATTATGAAATTCAGATTATTAAAGGAAATTCCATCAAAACAAATAGGTTTTAAAAGTCAGAAATTAAAAACTGTTGGATTGAAGATTGCTCCTGCTCCGGATAAAAGATCTTGGCATTTTCAAAGAACACATTTATTCTCTTTGGGGGTCTTGTAATTTTGTTCTCAATTCTAAGTGCACCAGATGTAAATGGGGTCGTCCAGTGATGTTTAGTTGGAAAGCAAACCAAAGCTTGTCCAAGTATTTCAACATCTCAGTTGTAATCAGAGAGATGTACTTTCCTCGGAGCAGAAAAGTACTGTAGAAGTTGGATTTCGTAATCAGCTCTTGCGGTACAATTTCTTGCCAAATGGTTAAATTCCTTTTTTTATTATAAAGTTCACATCATTCCCACATGAGAAAAATCTATTTTTTTCCAGGAATCTTTTGTAATGTTGACTATTTAATCAGTCTAAAAATGAAAGTAAAAGCAGTGTTTGATAGGTTTTCCTTTGAATTTGTGCCTTGACAGTGATTTTCATGCTGGGAACCGGAACCAATTTGAACTCGTATTTTACACAAACACTTACACTCAATTTGAACTCGTATTTTACACAAACATACACTACACACACACACACAGTGTATGTTACCTGTCTGCTTACACCTGTCTGGTGGCCAGTATAAATATGAGTTGTGGTGCAGTGTTCTGTGGCCCAGCTGTCTGTTTTGGGAGGTCTCGCTCCAGGGGTCCATCTTCTGCTCTGTGCGTGAGTAATTTCTGACTGTACTCTCAAAGAACAATGTTTAGTGCTTCTTTAACCACAGGTGTAAATCACAAATTGCGTTTTTCTTTGACGCTCAGAAGATGAACCAGGTTTCTTCTATGGTCCTTAAGGACTTTAAGTCTCCCAAAGTGACTTTTTAGCATTTCTATATGTTACTTCTTTTTTCTAAAATGCTGATTTAATGTGATTTATTGAAACTCGGTAGTAGAACTTGTGCAGCTGCTTAGAGGGAGGAAGAAAGTACTCTAGAACGGTTACCAGTTTTTAGAAGCCTTGTTTCAAGACACTGGATGTGGAAGATTTTGACATGCTAGACTTTTATTGGACTGTCCAGCTGTCAATCACACATGGCATTCCCTCATATAACTCATTTCCTGTTACAGTTTATCATCTATGTTCTATGACGTCACATGTTGGCCTCTGAAACCATTCGATCTCCAGAGTTCTGACATATGCTATAAAATGAACCAAAGCCTGATTATATTAACACATTTACAGACGGACACAACAATTTACAAATGAATGTCAAATGATTCGGTCAGTAACGAGTAAGACAAACAATCAGCCTGTCACATGCCAGGAGACGGTTGAAGATTCCTTTTCTGCTATTCAGCTTTAAAGAAAGACCAATTGACCAAGGGGGCAGGACTATGGTTGGTTGAGCTTATTATGTCAGAGTTCTCATTTTCCACAGATCAGACCTGGGTTAGAGAAGGTACAGGGAACTGGTCCCAGTGGGGGACCTGACACGGGTCCATTGAGTCTGTGTGAGTCTGGAGTCTGCTGGCTGAGCCTTTGTCTGGTTTCCTCCACATCCTCAAGAGTCCTGCTCCTTCACGCCACCATATGGACCACCTCAATGGCCTGTCAACGCAGTCCTTACACCTAGATGTTGAGTCAGAGGACAAACAATGCTGTGGAA